CGAGGAGAAAAGGACAACAAAACCCCTTAGGACAAGCCACATAAAGGAGAAATTTGTGCTTTATTAAAAGTATTTTCAAACATTGTGGTCTACTTTTACAAGGGAAAAGACTGTTGCGACAACGTGGCTGGTTTTGCACATTGTTATGTGCGTCCGGTTTGTTTACCCATCTCTGTTAAGAGAGCAATGCACAGCTGTTTACACACTCTTTCTGTGACATGCATCCATCTGGATGGGACTAGGAAGCTGACAAAAATGTGCAAGGAAAACACTTGAATGAGGATTTATAAATAAGAGGAATCGTTCTTGGTGCAAACTGGCACACATCACACGCACAGTAACAACATGCACTGTGGTTAACTGATGGGAGAAGCAAACTTGTTAGTAAACTCGGCTATAACCAGAAAAGGAAAAAAAAAAAACTGTCTATAAAAGCATTGTTTCAACAGAAATACAAGTGTGCTGTCTGTCTGTCTCGAAAGTTTGACTAGTCTTTATGGAAGCCCAACATTATATATCCTCAATCACAGGTACTGATTCAAATACCGAATACTCAAATACTGCTTGTTTAATTAACATCACATAATTACATTTTTAATAGGATTCTGAAACGGGTGTGAGATCAGTCGATGGTGTTACTGTAGTAGTAGTTGTTGGAACTATACAGAAACACTGAGGCCACTGTTCATCTGTGTTACAGAGAGGAGTGTCAAATATCACATAACTATTTGTTCACAAGCAGGTAAAACGGTTTGTAAATGTATTAGCCGTCGCAGTTCTGCTTCTCCAACGGCCACCAGCTTACACAGGAGACACAAACACGACAATTAAGCTAGCGGTGCATAACTCACCTGCCTATGCTTGGACTTGGTCGGATTGTTGTTAATAGGGGCCCCGCTGTTGATAGTGGCCGCGCATTCTCCACCACGCACAGCTACAAGCTTTCGTTGTTCATTCAAAGAGTTTTAAATGACGACGGGGTTGGTCATCAAGCTAACAAGAAAATGATAATGCTAGCATTTAGCTGTCTAACGTCGTTAGCATTCAACTCAAACATGCGAGTGCACCTCTAAAATGTTTCTTCAAACTTTTTAGCTGGCAGAGGTGACATTTTACTGTACTGTCTTTGTTCTTTTCAACAACAAGCTGAAAATACCGATAATGGTGAAAATTGTGGCTGTGCTCGGCCAAAGGCGATGGCGCTAAAGAGGAAGAAGAAAAAGAAAAAATAACGGAAGCTTGTTTGACCGGTGACGAATGAGGCGTTTGAGGACATTCTGCCTAAAAGTAGCCTAAAATATTACGTAGCCAAGAAATAGTCTGCAAATCTAGTAGTGAATTAATCATTCATTCAAAAAGCATGATAATTAGTGACGTTTAGGCATGTTGTTGTGGTGGATTTGTTTCCAGTCTTTATGCTAAGCTAATGTGTTACTGCTTCATATTTACATACAGTATATGCAAACAAAGTGACAAACATTATTACCAAAATGCTGGACTATTCCTTTAGATTTGAAAAATCTCCTTAAAAACAAATGAACACAGGCCTATCCCTGAAAATTAATTGTACCCCATTTTTTTTCTCCCACTCTGCTCACACTTGCATTCATGGTGTTATTTATTCATAGAGAATGTGACTACAATCACCTTCCCTGTGAGCCATAAATGATTCATGGGAGCCTATAAGAGGGTGTATTCTCCATAATATACTCTACAACACAGCAGTGGGTATTCATCCAGTACAGTATGCTCTGGCTGAGAACAATGGAGTGTTTGTTGATAACCAAGTGCACAGCCTGAAGTAGCAAAAAACATCAGCAACATGACTTGCAGCAGAAGACAAAACTGCTACTCACAAACCACTGCTTCAGCAAAAAAATATAAAATAAAATCAGCCTGTAACCAAAAAAAAAGATGGAAGATGAACAAAAGGAAAACAGAGCTCTTCTTCAAGTTGTGAGTAAACAATTAAACATCTTTAAATGATACATGGAGACAAAACGTGTCTACCAGTAAAAGTTCAATTCTTATCTTAGTGTAAGTGCTTTACAATTTATGGTGGATATGTATGTAGACCAGAGGTAAAACTGATTGGTAGAGAGCTGCCAGATGACTTCCACAATCACAGGCTGACTGGAAATGTAAAGTCACGCTTCATTATCTATGGCTGTTTTCCAACAGTAACAGATAGTGGTATAATTTCAAACCTTTCCTGGATCCCAGATCTTTTCTTTAGGGTTTCTCAACAGGAACAATAACAGTGTAAGATGTCTCAGCTTTAGATATATCGTGTAGTCGGATACTTTGATCCACAGCTGCCTGGAGCGCGAGGGAACAAATTCCTCTCAAGCTTGTGTCGTCCCAGGGGAAATCGGACCTGTGACCCTGTCTGTGTTACGGCCACCTCGTATCCACTGAGCAACACTGGGAGGAATTTCAAATAAGATGTTTTTACATTTTGCTGATGCTCTTGTCATCTGGGTTGACTTACAATGAGTGACAAGGTGACAACAGGACAGACAAGTTTGAGTTTTTAGTTGTAGGACAATCTCTGTGACCACAGGAATAGGTAGTTCTGTCTGGAAAATAGAAATAAATCTGATTTTTCTCTTCCTGAAGCAAAAGCAGTCAAACATGTTTCCAAACATGCAGCTGATACACAAGAACCAAGTGATTTGATGATTTGCAGGAGATGTCAGAGTTAAAACTGGCCTAAATATGACAAACAATCCCAACACTTCCAGATATTTGCTTTTTCAGGAGCTTCCAACCATGTCACGCAATCTTCATCAAAGTCAGTAATGAACTTCCACAGTCAATCTGCTGAGTATTTTATGGTTATTTCCTTGCTCGTTTCTACACTAATCAAAGTTGACAACATAATTTTGTTTTTAACATCAATGAACATAAGAAGAAAGAAAAAAAAATCACTTGTCCTGGTAATGATGCTGTACCAGAGGTTTCTTACTCTGTGAATTAATGTTGTACACAAGCTGCAGCTGCTGTGAGGTTTGTGCTTGACCTCTGTGCAACGTTTAACAATGTAAACTCTTGAGAACGTGCTTATCTCACAGCTGAGGCCTTTTAAGACCCTGAAAGAATAAATGTAGATCTTTGATGCTCTTGTTGAAATAGTTTGATTGAAAGTTAATTGGTTCAGGGAAAAGTCTCTGTGGAAGAAAACGGCCGGTTTTCTGGACATCTGTAACAGTTAATTCAAAAGCACTTCAAAGAATATATTTCAATGTAGGTAGGATAAGGATTTGCTTCACATTGAAATGAAGTTAGTGAAGTGCTGGTGAAACCATGTTTAAATGTAAACCCTCACCTTTCTACCAAATTTTGCCCCTATATAGTTTTAGTTAAACATTTTTGTCAAACCCCTGTTTCTAAGGTCAAGAATAATCGGTCATGATTCAATTTAGTCCAGATTAAACCAAAATCTACATATCTTTTGTCAAGTAAATCATCATATCAGTGGTACAGAGAATGGCCTAACATGGAGTGCCTACATGTGAGAGAAAACAGTGCATTGCAGAAGACTGAAGCTCAGCTGCAGTATATTACAGTCGTCAGAGAACCTGTGCATCAAGTCTCCTAAATTAGAAGTCTTTGAATCCTTACCATCCTCCCTCCTGGGTTGCTGCTCTGACCAGGACACTAATCACAGCCTCGGGGGGGAGTCACGGTCGCAGACAGACTGTCTCAGCCCTGCACAGCTACCAGCCAACCTACACACCTCAGCACTTCACTGATTATTCTTCACTGTCCTGGAACAAATGCATTCAAATGCAAAAGCCTGAACCGGGAGACGCACATGCTCTATCTAAAGACAAATGGAAGATGTGTTCACACAGTGATACTGAACACAAAGAGGCACAAAAGCAAGATGAGAAGAAGAGTGAGACAGAGACAGGGAGTGCATCTTCCTGTGTGTCTATACAATAAACTGCAGAGGATATTGCAGTCACAAAATGATAATAGAATGCAAATAACTTAAAATGGTTTCACTGCACACATAAATCTCTCCCTCTGCAGGGTCACTCCTGTAGGTTGGAGTTTCTAATTGCACACTGTGCTACGTACTGTGATGGCACACTGTCAAAGAGCATAAGGAACCTACAGTACCGATACAGAATAAATTAACAAACCATCCGCACATCAAGCCTACAACAAAACGTGTCTCTTAAAATTCAATTTCACAATATTATAAAAAAAAAAAAAGACATCTTTAAGTTTAAGATTTACATTTACACCTCTGCTTTACCATCGAGTTGGATAGAATTCTGTCCACTTTTGTTTTCCTTTGCAAATGACCTTGTTTGCTGAATCATCTTTAGATGGAGTAAATTAAAACTGACAGTGCACCTGCCTTCAGCACTTCCTCAGTCAGAGATGAAGGCCTGAATGATACTCGTTATAGATTAATTACAACCCGACAGAAGGCGGACACGCGGAGGAACCAGAGCAGGCAAACTTGTCAGACATCCATGGCAACTTGATTTGTTGTTGCTGCGACTGAACTCCTCTTCAGCTAGTCCTGAAAAAAATTTAATTCAACCTTTGCATTGTACTGTTCAGTGCCTGAGGACATCTGAGCTGCTGAGGTCACAGCAAGTCACTGGATGGATGTCTTCTTTGCAGTTTTCAAGTTTGTCTTCAAGCCATCCTTTGCTAGACTCAGCGAATGTATCAGTAGGTCAGTGCAGAGCAGTGTGCTGTGCACTTTGTATGACTCTCAAACTGAGAAGATGACTTAATATTCAAGAAACAGAAGACATGTTTTTGCTGTCCAGGATGGTCAAACTAATAAAAATGTATCTGACTGAGTTGCCATTGTCCAGTAAACAAGTGGCTGGATTTTAAAACCAATCCTCAGTCTTTTTAATGGATATTGGATTGGATTTAGTGTCAAAATGAATGTTTACACACGTTAGAGAGCATACTTCCGGTCAATGTAGCTGGTCCTCAGATGATGATGACGATGTAGTTTCCTTGTTGGTACAGCCAGGGTCACAACTTGTGCCATGATGGGTTGAAGAACTTGATGGCGTGTGTCTTGGCCCACTTGGTAAACACAGATTTCTCCGTGATGAAGCGGTGTCCACCGTAAGGGGCACTCTCATGCAGCAAATACTCCTCACACTCATCCCGACTGCCAGCCTCGTAGTAGTGGTAGGGAACCTTTTTGTTACCCTCAGTCCTAAAGGGGAGAAAAAACAAAAGAAAGATTATTTAACCCAGCTCACCTTGTTCTACCCATCAAAGCCTGTTTACAGGAGTTAGGGACCAATACATTCACATATGTGAAAAAAACCTTTTGTGGGTCCAAAGGGAGCTATGTGCAATTATGATCAAAATGTAAAGATCTCAGGGAGTTTACCAGACCTCTGTAGCTCAGAGGCTAACTGCTCAAGAATACATCAGCTGCCACAAATATAACACCCCTGAATCTCTGACCGAACTATTGGTGGTCACGTTGTGTTGTGGGTAATGCAGGTGCCAGGTTTTCTCAAGGAAGGAGAATGCAGGATTAATACAGCCTCATCGTATCTGATCCTTATTTAAATCTGTCTCTCATGAATCTGATCATGTTCAAGGGCTGCAATGGTAAATCTGCCAAGTACTATAAAAATGAGTCACATGAATATGTGACCAAAATCATGTGAAGTGTAGCTTGACCACTGACTGTATAAAATAAGGACACCATAACAGCTCCCAGAAGTGAAGCCGCTGTGGCGCTATCGCCCCCTGTTGGCTGGTTGCAGTATAGTTCATAAATCCAACCTCCTCCATGACAGTGGACAGGACACTGGACAAGACACTAGCCAGGTCTTATCACCCAACATGAGTGTCGGATCCCACTGATGATCTTTGGGCTGAATAAGAGCAAATCCCTGCAGCGTGGAAAGGCTTTCCAGAAGAGCAGAGGCTGATCTAGCAGCAGATAAATGTTGGTCATGTGACCACATACAGTATGTTTGGCCATAGTTTATATTTCATGCTTCAACTGTGGCCAGGCCTCTCTGTTAAACAAAACAACATTTCTAAAGAAACTATATAAAAGTAACACACTGTAAATTGTGATGAAAACTTCCTCTGATGTCTGAACATTGTCTATGCTGAAATTGCTTTTGTGGTGTCTGTGCCATATCAGTGTAAAGTATTACAGGGATTTAATTTGATGTTATAAATGTTAAAAGATTTATGTGATAATATGTGTTTACATTTCATTTAAATTTAAAGCCAATGCTTTCTGAAATCTCTTCCAGACAGTTTGGGTCAAATTCCAGTCAGCACATTATAAATGTCCTTGGTTTTGATTGGTTTTATAAACTATCATCTGAAATAATCAGCCAACTAAATTATTAAACTATTATACTGAAGATCCTTCAGGACAGTGTTCAGCAATATGAACTGAAGCTGCCTCAGGCAAACAATCTCCACTCAGCAGGACTTTCTCTTTTGAAAAGCTGCTGTTGGCAGCCATATTTATTCAGAAGATACTTCTTTCACTTCTTTCTTTTTTACTTTCACTGTACTTACGTGAAAAATGTCAAGACAAGGTCAATTTCAAATCTGCCGCAAAGCAAATCCGAAAACATCCAGAAAACTGTGCAATGTTCAGTAGCAGGGTTAAGCTGGTCTGACTTTAATTTCATGATGAGTCACTGGGCTCACACTGTGCATTTTCAAACCATTAAAAAGAACGATGAATCAATAAAAACAGAAGAGCAGTAGAATAGATTCATTGTGCATTCTGCAGTCAGTTTCTAATAGCGAGTGACAGCTTTATGAGTGGATGACTTGTGAAACTATTTCACTGGGAGAATGAACACAGACAGAAGTGAAACGACCATCGCAACATCCAGCCAGTGGGTCCACAGGCAGAAAAGGACTATGGTTGACTGCCAGCTTACAGTAACACATAGCCAATCACTGCCTCTCCTCTCTGCGTCCTAAAGTGGTGCACACCAGCTACAATAAATACATTCAGTTACATCCAGGGTTCAAATTATTACATGTATTTTGGAGGGGTGTCCTCTACGGTGGATCCACAATGAAACATGGCAGTGACTAATGATCAATACTGGGCACAGGAACTCAAAGGTCAAGAAGTACTACTACAAAATAAAACAATCAAACAATATATTTTAATTGGTTTAATTACTTTATGTTGTTTAAATTATATAAACAATTTCCAGAAAATAACTACAAACAAATTAAAAACTAACAAATACACATCCATCTATAATTACCTGTCTGAACCAAAAGTCGCTTTTTAAGAAGAACTTAGAGATTTAGGAACTTAGGCCTATTTGTTTTATAATTCATTAGTAATTGTATGAAGATTTCAATGGGAAATTGTTGATCAGACAGAGTTTGCAGTGAGGTGGTGCGTTCCAGCCAGTCGTTGAGAATCAACGGTCTGATAATAAAATCCACTCACAGATAGATGCACAAAATAACACATGAAATCAGCTCATTAGGCATGATAAATAAAAACACTTTGCATATGTCCTGATCAGTCATGTCCCTGACAGCAGGTGATGTCAGTCAGAACGCTGAAGTCTACGGTCACTCTACATCTGCTACATCATCTCATCCGCTTTAGGGGTGTGAGATATCGTAGTAGATGCTCCTTAGGCCTTGAACGTGAAACTACTGTATATTTCAGTTTGTGACTGAAGGTACAGGTAGACCCCTTGTAATTCACAGCCTGAATACACCCTTTCTGCAGTACCTGTTGAAGTGCTATTACTACACAACAGTTGAGGTCAATGCCGCCTAAAGCTTAGAACATCATCACACAAAACATCACTTCTTCTTGTTGAACTGGAGCATTCAACTGACAGCAGTACTTTGTGTGACACTAAATTGTCCATTCAGAAACTCAGTGAAACACAATATCCTCCTGTCTCATGGAGTAAGGAAGGAAATAAGTGAGAGACAGGCAGGGAGAAAACACTGCCCCTTAACTACCTCACTGAATCATAAAATCCTCCGTGCTGGTTGAATTATCACCTCTCTCTGCCATGTGTCTGGAGCTGTTTTTATTTAAGCTCCTGCTGTGCATGGGGAACACGCAGAGGATAAAAGGCAGGGTTTTCGCCGTGCATTAGGTAAAACTGTTTGATTCGAGGGATAGAGAGAGATCAGGTTGAGCTGCGAGAGCAGAGAGGAGTCACAGGGAGAGAGATGGGAGAGTCTATCAAGGCTGAGATGGCTTGAGACGAAGCAGCCATGGCCAGAGTAACAGCATTTTGTTTGTCATCCCTTCTATGGCCTCACAGGGAGACAGTAATCAATCACCTGAGAGTCAGAGAGGACGACAAATAAAACTAACAGAGGTGGAATTGGGTGGTGCAGCCCAGACACCTGCACCGACAGAGAGTCTGCAGCCTGCTGGGTAAGAAGGCAGGAAAACATAATGGTATTCACAGCACAGAGAACCCAATATGAATTTCAGCATGGAAATTCGACCATTAAATCCAAACCAAGGCACTAGAGATGTATTCCGACAGGGCAGTCCGCGGTTATGGGAGGCTGTGATTGGCCGGTGCTGCTGTGAATGTGAATCTAATTTTCCAAGTTTTGTAGGAATGCGTACATTTTTCATTCTTAGTATGGAGGAGGACAGGTGAGAGTTGGTGTCTTACTTGCAGTAGGTGTCGTTTATCATGCCGTAGATATGGATCTCTTTGCACATGTCCATGGCAAGGATGAGCGTGAACCAACCGGTGCTGAGGTAAGAGCCAGACTGGATCCTGCAAACACACAAAAATACAGCTCCTTCACTATATTTGCATAACAGTCTTAAAATTTAATTTGCCTGAAAACAAAAACATCTATAGTTTCCCTGACCTTTGTATTATTTGCTCTGGAGAGTTTGTAAAGCAGTTGATCTGAGAATTAAAGTTATTCTACCAGATATTCTTATTGTATGCTGTTCTGGATAAACTCTCTGCTACGGTTCAAAAATGTAAATTTAATTCTACATTCATCGACAGCACAGAAGGACACCCCTCAGATGTTTAACCTTATGTTTCATGAGTAGTTTAAAGACCCATTCACTAGTGTGTACATAGTAGGTAAAGAGTTTGAGTGCATGGAGAGAGTATGTAAAATTCACACTTTGATATGAGGGAGAAACACTGTGTTGTCACCTCAACAAGCCAGCAGCAGTACACGTTTTGTCTCCTGTGAATGATGCAGGAACCCCCGTGGGCCAATCAATACCAAAACGCATAATCCTTGACTGGACTTGTGGTGTATGAGCTATACGACCGATCAAAGTTAAAAAATTCAAAGCTCTGATCATTTTCAAACACAAACCGCTGACATGCACTCGAGCTTTTGTTAAAACCAGACTAGTAACATCCGAATGGGGTCATAAAGTATACACTAATGGCCCCCCTGAAGCAAGGGGCCCCTGCCTCTCAGTAATGCACAGCCTGAGGAGCCTTAGACTTTATATAAATGAAATAGAGTGCAGAGCCTGATAGAGACAATGGGAAAACACTGGCATCACCACAGTGTGATATAGTATCAGTTTGGCAATTTTCAGAGACTGTGTTTGATTATATTTACTTTTTACTAAAATGATTCATCAGTTCTTTTTTTGACTAATTGATTAATCAACTAATCACTGCAGCTCTAAAATGAATAAATTAATCTACAGATAAATTGATTAAATTATTGCTTTTTAAATCGACAATAAATGGATTCTAAGTATGTTAATATATAATCAATGAATTTAATACATCATCTGTATTAAACGTTAAATAAATACATATAATAAATGTAATATATCTAACTGGACAACGAAAGCAGGGATTAATACAGAATTACAACTGAATAAATGAATCCATTGATACATTTACTAAATCATTAGGTATTTCATTTATTAATATTTAAATTGGCAACAAATAAGAACTAAGAATTTACAATTTATTAATAAACAAGCAAAAATAGAATTATAAGTTAACAACAAAAAAAATCAATAAATACATAATTTAAAATTAATTAACAGATGAATAAATGTCTACATTACTGAAATACCTTTTTTTTTAAATACAGTTTAAAAAAGAAATGGAGTAATTCACAAAGCAAACTATTTTCCATTTTATTTTTCATGTTTTTCCTTTACTTTTACCAGAAATTAATGAACTGATTATATGTACTGATGTTTCTTTAGTGTTCAGTTACTAGAATGCTTCATAACAACTTGCACGAGGGCCTGCGGCCCACCGCGGGCCTCAACCAAGATGGAAATAGTAAAGTGGTGTCAGGAAACAGCAAACAAAACAGAAACAAATGATACTTGGAACAGCTGAGGGGCAGCAGTGCATCACCGTATGGAGACTGACACAGGATCAGGACCTTGGACAGCAGTCAACACGCCGGTTCAGTTATTACTGTAAACCGCTACTTCCCAAGATCTTTGGCTTATGACACCCCAACAAACAACAGAATCACTTTGTGCCCCCTTGTTATCAACTGCATGTGTGTACCAGTAGCTACCAGTTCAATAAGAGAGCGATTTTCTCTTTGTTTTATGCAAATAATTTCATCCATTAAATCACCAGCACCAGAAAAAAGCTAGAGTTTTCCCTCTTCTCCTATCCTGCTAATCATTTCTTGACCCCTCACATTTGTCTCATGACCCCAGTCCAAAATGATCTAAACAACCTAGTAGGATGAGGAAAGGGTTGTCGACTACCTTACAAGTTATGGCAGACGAGTAAATGGCAGCATGCCAAAGCCTTACAGAACTTTCCAGACAGGTACAGTACACCTCACATTAGTCTGAGCAAAACACTGGGACTATATCACCAATTCAAAAATAACCTGCTGTCATAAATCAGACATTTTTTATCTGTAAAACTCCTCTCTATTATTTTGTTATGCTGTGAAAGCAGCGTCTGAATGACAACTAGAGGTGAAGTTCACAAACAATTCGCATCATAGTCGATCCTGCTCACTGTGAACTCGTCTTATCACCGAGGAGCATCTCTACTACTTTCCCCTTGACCTACCGGTGCCATGTACAGTAAGCACACTGACTGAGAAAACGCAGCATGTCTTGGCTCTTGTTAAATGTTCATTGATGCCAGTTTTCAAATTATATACAGCTATTAGTTGTGATTACAATCAATTATGACCTTATTAAGGCAGAAGAAGAGACAGTGAGGGTAGATGATGGCGCTGGAGTGGCTGGAGAATATGTTGTTTTTATATTTGCATGATATGTTAAGTGCTTTGGTCAGCTGTGCTGTGGTAAAGCGCTATATAAATAAAGTTGAGTTGAGTTGAGAATAGTGAGAATAAAGAGGGGTCTACAGTGCTAAAGGCAAACTGAAAGACTCCACAGATTTGTGTTACAGAACTGTGTCCAAAATGTTGCATTTGTGCTTAAATGAAGTGGCCTCATAAGACCAACAACCTGTTCAAGATTTATACTTTGTACCTTCTAATATGTTTGACTTGGTTTGATTTATATTTGGATCCTAAAAACAAATTGGTTTTGTGATACACAATGGTTCAAACATGGTCCCAAGATGCTGAAACAATTAAATTAAATTACACAATAAAAGTCTTTTAAAAGCCCCATAAAAATCATTACAGCAACCATGAAAAATGGATACGATCTCATTTTTAGTTCAAACTTTTAGTCATTACAGTATCAAGTTCCACTAAGAGATTTCAACATTGGTTTGGATGCCAAAATGTTGGTGTTATTTAAGAATACCGTAGTTGTTTGTATAAACTTTACCAAATACACACGGGAACATTCTTTGGCTTGCAGTGACCTCCTGAAATATATTCCAGAGTCATTGCAAAATATTATGTAAACACATGCAACATTAAATTCATTAAATGCGAAATGCGGGGGGTCAAAGGGGAAGAAACATTTACATACTGTAGGTTCCACATTTTTGCATTTCATGATTGTTACTGTATGCCCGCAGCACTAAGCAGACGGAGGATACAGCGTCATGTTCAAGGACACCAGGACAGCGATGCTGCTGAGACAAATCTGCCGAGACCAAACCTTTGAACTTTCCGATACTGAACAGTCTCTCTCACCTCATGAGCATCTTGCTTTGCACTGCTATTCTTGCTGCTGTCCTCATAGAGTACATCTCCATCTTTGGTGCTCAGCAGCTGTGGTGTGCTTTCGATTGTGATTACACAACAACAAACTCATTGAGCATAAATGGCAAAAAGCTGCAAATCAGCAAACTAAACTGAAGAGTATGAGACGTCATTACTGTAAAATGTGTGTTAAAGGCCCCGAGTGCAGGACCTAGTTTGGTTTTCGAGTCCGGGCAGCCCAACAAACTCACAAACACACAGGCACCGGGGTTGTGGGGAGGTGAAATTACAAAAAAACACAATTTGTTGCAATAAGAGAGTGGAGGAACACAGAAGGGAAATGGCACATTATCATTGATACACAGCTCAGCAGTTCCCAGTGATCAGAGCTGTCAACACATCACCATTCCCCTGCATTATTCATTAGCCATTTGCCACTCTAGCTGTAGACACAAACACACATTCATATATTCACACACATGCACCACATACCCAGTGAAGAGCTGAATGTCCTGGAGCAAAAAAGCTTGAATAAATAAAGGGAATGGGATCTGCTGACCTGATAACTGAAGTTTCAAAGAAGATGTCTGGAAGTGGAGAAGCCGAGAGAACGACTGATACAATTCAAGGTCTACATCAGGCAGTGTGTTTACCTATAACAATTATAATGGGACAACTTTGCAGAAGGGATGCTGTTATTGCATGGCCAATTTAAAACAGAGATAAGGCACAATGTGAAGCCACTTTGGCAGGCGACAAATAACATACAGAGCCGGAGGACAGAGAGAATGTAATTTGCTTGCTTTGTTAAAGCAGAAAAACACAGCCTTTTACTCAAAGGTGTCATGAGGTCTGACTCAAGGCTGTCTGGCTTTTTACTGAGGCTCTTTTATTCCATTCTGCCACCACTTTTGTGAAAAATGAAACATAATAAATTGTGTTTGGGCATGAACAGAGCCAGATAAAAAAATATAATGCACGTAAAAACTCAGTCAAATCCTTCTTTTCGCGCTCTCTCCAACACAAACCTGAGACAAATGATGCATGAGTGATTGGGACTGACATGCTAGGATGCTGCAGTGCTACTGGCACCGAGATATGAAGGGTGTTTGAGAAATGAAGTCAGACAATCTGAGCAGGGTCTCAGCAAATAATCCCCTAAATCTGACTGAGCGGGAGCTTGTTGTGCTTTACCTGCCAAGCGCCAGAGGCTAAGGAGTGGTGGAGAGCTGCCTAGGATCAGCGAGAGACTCCTCTACCTCTGACTCTGTTCAATAATTCGCACTTGACATTCACAGCAGGGAAGCTGTCCACGTGTGTGAGAAAATCCATACTGACGACTGCTTTTGTCAAACCGTGGTTTTTAATGCCTATTCAGCTGTACAAATATGATATGACACCTGTCGGAAACACTTAGTGGAATATAAGTCAGCTACTGTGTGATGTTGATCTTCACTCTGCAAGAAAATCAGCTTATTATATGTCAGACAAAAGTGTTTATGTAAAATTAGACAAATGAAAATACTACACACATAATCACGGCAGGGCACCAGCATGTCACGACTTTACTGGAGCTGCACCTGATCTCATAATTCACAGATCGGCTCGTACTGTACGTTGGTCTAAACACTTAAAAACTAAAGTCCAGACACTTTTGTCAATTCATAAA